GACAGGCCGCCGAAGCCGATACCCGGGACGTTCTGGGTGACCTCGGCGGTCTTGAAGGCGGAGGGGTCAGTACCGCCCGAGGTGCCGTCAACGTCGGCCTTGAGGGGACCCGCGCCGTCCTGGTTGACCTGGTGGAAGGTCATCTTGAGGGTGCCGTCGTCGGCGGTGGTGGGCATGCCGCCCTGGGCGGCCATGCCGGTGGCGGCCTTGACGGCGGTCTCAGCAGTGCCCTTGGGGGTCTTGGTGCCCTTGCCGGCCTGGCGGGCGACGAGGGAGCGGCGAGCCATGTTGGCCTCGTGGATCTCGCGGGCCTTCTTTACGGCGGTGGTGTTGCCGGCGGCGCCGTTCATGAACTGGCCGACCATGGTGGCGGCGTCGACGGGGCCGCCACCCTGGGTGCGACCAAGGGCGGAGGCGCGGTTGGTGCCCATCTCGCGGTCACGGATGATGGAGGTGTCGGCCTCAGAGCCGCAGCGGGGAGAGGCGCAGTCACGAGGAGTGCCGTCGATCACTGCATTTGTGTAAGATTGAGATATCAGAGATAGAAACGAGCGAGTGACTTACAAGAGAGACCGGGCAGGTTGACACCATTAGCACCCTGAACGCTGTCGATGACACCGTGGGCAAAGACGTTGGTGGCAGCGAAAGCCGCGAGGAGGATGGTGGAGGCGTACTTCATCTTGGCGGTTGGAAAGATTGGTGAAAGTTGAGTCTTGAATAAGAGGCTGATTATTATCGATGCAATAGACTGTCAAGGAGCTCCGGGCTCTTGTGGAAAAGAAAGGCAGATGAAGAGAAAAGGCTGAAGTGTTGATGAGATGCTGATGAGAGACAAGTAAGATCGAGAAGGTTTGGCCGGATATGCGTGTGATTCTTATACAAGTTCTCGACAGACTGGATGACAGGTCTTGGACAGTCTTGGAAGACAGTTGATGGGGCTTGGCAAACACGGGCCTCAGTTCCCAAGGGCCAAGGATTCCTCGATGGCCGCGCTTCCAGCGAGTGAGTGTGAGGCATGTTGCCGCTGGCTTCTCTCACGAAAAGATCAGTCGAGGCATTGATCTGACGACTGGACGACACGGGCTGTGTTCTCGCTCGAAGACGAGGTTTCTGAAGATGCGATTGGCTTGGAAACCTGTTTCGAGGGGACCTGCGGGTCCTGAGGAGCGATGACCAGGAGGGACGAGAAACGCCACTGGGAAGAGGTGAGCAAGTGGTCCCGCGCAGGCTGGTTTACTCGGCAAAGACGGCCAGGACAGGTTCATGCATGACGAGCTGTTGGCGATCTGGCTTCCGATAGGTAGATCTCTGAAAATCACGGCTGTGGGGGAGCTACGACGGCTTCCACGCTTCTCAGGAGTAAGGCTAAACGCCTTCTCCACGGCTGGTTTGGGGCTCGGCGTCGATGAGGGTGACGAGGTTGCTGGACAAGGTTTAGCGGCGGGAGCGTTCCTGGGAACAACAAGGGCAATCCCATCTCTTCAGGTGAAAAGATTTGAGAACGACGCTAGGATGGTGTCGATCCTAAAACGTGAGTCGTGTGAGGTTGCTGGTCCAGCGCCAGCGAGCTCGGGCCAAGCTGCGTGCGCTGACTGACTTCTTCTGGTGAGGTTGAGACGGGGCAAAACATCGCGGATTTGAGCAGCGTCTCCGTTCGTGACCAGGAAGCTCCGGTCAGGCAAGTGGGCGTCGCCCCTGGGTGCTCCATTCGCGAGTACGGGAGAGCGGCGACGCCATGCCCCCTTTGGTAAAGACCCCGTCTCGCTCGACACAGTTCGACTCACCACGGCCGGGCCTGCGTTAGAGGCCGAGGAGATATCTGGTGGAAGTCGAGAGAGCCCCAACGAGCAACGAGCTTATCGGGGGCTCCGCCCACCGTTTCGGTTTTCGGAAAGAAAACGGGAAAGGCTTGAATTGTGGTTCTCTTCCCCATAGCAATACGGGGCCGGGTGGGTGGTTAGACCTTCATCATGAAGCCTCGCTCTCGTGGATTCGTGATGAAGACCCAAGGACGCAAAACTTCCGAACCCATCGTCGGAGGCGCCAATGACGGTGACATTGCCAGCCGGCCGCTGACATGACTTGGCAGGAACAGCAAGGCGGGATGAAAGCTCGGCAATCGCATGCCGTCTCGACTCGGGTTGTGACAAGCCTTGGGCCAGCAGTTGACAGTGCTTGGCAGAAACTCTCTACAACGAACTCGGATGTCGGAGGAATTCCATGTTTCGTCAGCACGCGCACGGTTGTTTCCGTCCTCCCTACCTTCCTTGCCAGTGCTTGCCCTCACACTCTTGCGGGTTTCCTTGACCTCATGGTTTAGCCGACGAAGAAACCCGCGACCTGAGGTGAAGGTGGAGGTGGAGGCGCGGATTGAGGGAGGTGGAGGGGGCAGATCTGCCGGGCATCCCACGCGGTTGGAAGCAAGCATAACCAAATCCGGCTGACGTCGATCGTCGTCCATGCTTGCTCTGAGGGCTGTGCAGGCCTGCATTGCTGCCCTCCGACACACAGGTGAAAAAATCTGCACCCTCGATGGGGTCGCATTCTGAGTTGTTTAGTTTGGCGACCCCTCGCAACCCGCCTGGTCGTAGCGTCTCTGAGCTTGTTGTCTCATGAATTGTCATAATCCGCATGTCGTCGTCGTCGCCGTACTACGTTGTCAACCGCTTCACGCCCCACAGCCCAACCAGCTCCTCGTTCCCGATGACATAACCAGCCTGCCTCGGTTTCGGTGAGACGAGCCGGGCCATCTCTGTGCGAGGCTGAACAGCTTTGCGGCGTAGCAGAAGCACCGCGTTCATGCGAGAACGAGTGACCACCCGACGCCGTCGTCAACGGCAGCCTCGGATTGGGCTTCGCCATCTGTTCCTGGTCTCAACGACGAGCCTGGCCAGTGCGTGACTCGAAGGGTGATGCGCGCTAGAAGATTTCGACGCAAGCCATTTGGACCTAGAGGTTCGAAATGTCGCACGTGGATCGAATAACCTTGATCCAGCGCGGTGGATGGACACAAGGTATCGGCCCCTGCGGCGTGGAACATAGGCTTAAACGGCACAAGTCGAGATCAGGCTCGCACATTGTCGTTGCACAGCAGCAGCGCGACAGTTTAGAGACGCTATAGATGCCATCCTCTAGGTTGCCTCTCGCGGTGGATCTTTCTTTCTCATGAGAAATGAGATGATGGTGCAAGTTCAGCTGTTGTCTTGTCTAGCGTACGGGGTACGAGGAGAATCCGAGGTTTAGCTCGTAAGGTTGCAGCATCTTGCTTCGTCCGAAGGCGACGACCCAAGCTGATGCTGCGCCTCTCCCTTTGCGAGAATGAGACGGATAGGACCTCAACGTGGTCACCAAATGACGAGCATACACTTGAAGACGTTTTGCTTTTGCGACGAGCATCTGACGTACAGCGCGCGTGCGCTTGGTTCTTTGTATGATCTCCCGTTAAAATTGTCATTAGGCGCGATAATTGTCATTCAGCATTGGGCTGCTGGTCCAGACGTCCCTGTGTTGAAGGGCTATATGTCGACGGCATTATTGGTGCGTGCGTTCGTAACTTGGGACGCAAGCTGAGAGAGAAGGTGCAGCCCAATAAATGCCAGACAGATGTCTTGACTCTTGTCGCCCAGGACAGAGTTCCTGTCAATGTCAAAGCCGGCCGCGAAGTGGTTACGGGAACTGACTTCTGGCGTTCAGTATGACGGGTGACAGAAAGCGTCTGAAGCACGGGTGACTACCATTCAGCTGGGACTAGGCCTTGGTTGTGCTGCGCTGGTGTCTGCTGTGTGCTTCGTTGCTCAAGGTTGGACTGGAGCTTGATAAGAGTCAAGACATGTGCATCTCGTTTGTCGCGTTCACGACGGTGAGGTTACGCTCCAACATGTGCGTGATGTTGAGGTGAGGGTTGGAAAATGGTCATTGCCAGAGAGGGCAGGAGGAAGGGAATGGATCGTCCTGCACAACTGCAGCTGCACGCAGGGCAATCAAGCGACCCCCAGGCACCGGGCCAATAAGGCCCCGCAGCGCCTCCCTCCCCTGCCACACCTTGTTTTCGTCCCCTGAGCGGCCCTGCTACTAGCCACGTTAGCGCACCTCGGGACCTGCTTTGAGACCCTTCAGCGGCCTCGGACCTGATGACCGCCACCACGGCGTGGACGTCTTTGACACCGTCATTCGTCGACTCTCCCGTTTCACTTGCCGTTGGTGGCGGCCAACACAGCACCGCGGGGTCCATCGTCTTCAAACAAGCATAAGTGTGGCGTCCATACGGCAGTAAACCCATGCTGCCACTCTTCGACCCAAAATCCGAGCCTTCAATAACCAACAAGAAGTCGATTAGGAGGGCCAGGGGATGATGGCCATTTATGCCCCTTTTCAATGGTCTACTGGGAGCAACATGTCCTCGGACAACCCCCATCCTGCTCCTTTGCATCCCAGAGGCCTCCTCGCCGATTCCCGCTGGATCCTTCCTACATGCGCGAATAAGTGGCTCTGCATCTCATATCTTGAGTAACTCGATAGATGTGGCAAAGACACCCGTCTTGACAAGCATCTCATGTTCGCAACCAGTGCAACTCCCCGTCTGGTCCCAACCGATCAAGAAGCTCGGGAATATGCCGTGACCCAATCACAGGACCACGAGCCGTCACTTCAACGGCAACCAGACTGCAGATACAACGGTCTTGGGTGCCATCGCTCACATGTCGAGCAGTTACATCCAGAGGGATCACTCCGGCCCTCGACCAGCCAAAGTCCTCTCATGGCCCGGCCGAGTGGCCACTAACATCCCCGCGAAGGCGCTGACACTGGCCTGTTTGGCCGTCTGATTCGCCAGCTCGTCCGAGATGTCACTTTAAGCTATCGCCAAACCCCCATTCAGCTGGGCTGCCGGTGTTTGCATACGAACTAGATCTATGTTTATATAGCCGCCGCCTCTGTCGTGTCGAGATGCTCCACGTCGTGTCTGTACCTCTTCCTGCTCTAATGCTAATATCATTATCGCCATGCGCGCCGCTCTTTTCTTGCCCGTTGTTGCGGGCCTTGCCGCCGCCGCCTGCAATGGCAACGATGCACTCTGCGGGAAGAAGTACTCGGAGGTGACCTTTGTCGGTTCTCACAACAGCCCCTTTGTAGGCATCGGGCCCGCAGATAACCAGCTGGTTTCGCCAACGGCACAACTTGACTTGGGTGTCCGCTTCCTGCAAGCCCAGACGCAGAATAAGGATGGCGGCATTCAGATGTGTCATACCGATTGCCTCATTCTGGACGCCGGGTCGTTGTCTGATTACTTGACCTCAATCACCAAGTGGATGAACGCCCACCCGGACGAAGTCGTGACTCTGCTTCTGACCAACATCGACGCGATCCCCGTGCAAAAGTTCGACGACGTGTTCAAGAGTACGGGCCTCGACAAATATGTGCTCCGGCCCGAGGGGAAGGTGGCCGAGTGGCCCACGCTTCAGAAACTCATTGACGACGGGACGAGGTTGGTCGTCTTCATGGGTACGGCAGACCTGCATCTAGGATAATTGGGAGACTGAGAAACTGACGAGAGCAGACTACCACGCCGACACGAGCAAGTTGAACTACATCCTCGACGAGTTCCAGTACTTCTGGGAGACGCCGTACGGCGAGACGGACTCGAACTTCCCGCGGTGCAACATTGACCGGCCAGAGGGCGTCGACCCGAACGGGCGCATGTACCTCGTCAACCACGTCCTAAATATTGACATCTTTGGCGTCAAGATCCCGGACCTGGCCAACGCGGGAAAGACGAACTCGTTTGACTCGATCGACAAGCAGGTCAACCTCTGTAGAGGCATGTGGGGGAAGACACCGAATGTGATTCTGGTAAGTTGGACATCCTCTCTTGGACACCGAGTTGGCTGGCAGCCATTGTCGGATCATCGAAATTACCGTTGCTGACTTGGGCTGAAATAAGCTTGACTGGATCAATGTCGGCGACGCGGTGAAGGCGCAGACTACGTATAACGCCTAGAAGGAATCCGACCTTCCATGCATGGAATGCAGCCAACTCGCGCCAGCGGCAGTTGGAACAGGATGTCGCAAAAATAGTAGCAAGGGCTCCGGGGAAGTGAAGCAGGCACCCGTCAGCTGGCCTTGGTAAACAGGGCGGGCAGGGCGAGTGTGTTTGCCGCAAACCGCGCCGCAGAGGCTTCGTGTTTCCGGCGATTAAATCGCGCGTGGGAAGGGCGTTCGCTCTGGCGAGGCGAACGAGATCACGTTTGCCCAGGGCCAGTTGTGAGGGGAGAGAAGAGGGAGAGAGAAGGAGGGGTCGCATCCGAGTGGCTTTTTGGTGGTGAGAGCGAAGCCACGCTCGGTGTCCCGATTCGGGCAAGGAGCTTCGGGCGACGGCCAAGGGGCTGGCGGGCTACCGTTCTCATCCATTTTCGGCCACCGGTCACTAGATACCATTTTTCGCAGCCTGATTTTGGCTGCTGCTGTCAATTTTCACATTTGCATCTACCTTGCTCCCCGATCTGAAATCATCTTGTCGCGTGTCCTTGACTCATGAGATAAATACCAAGCCATGGCTTCATTTCATGAGTGCCGGCTCGTTTGAGTTCCGACATATACGACCTGATTCATTTTGTCCCCTTTATCGTTACCATTCACACGCAACTATCTGCCTGGAATGAGCATCTGCTTTCACCGCCATGGAGAGAAACGGAGCGTGGCTAGCTGACGGCGAGTACCTCGACTTCGTTAGGTCGCTCTCCTTCTCAGACCCGCGGCTTAAGCAGCGCGACCCCAAGGCTACCACCCAGCGCATCGCCTTCACCGACGACAATGTCAAAGTCGTCAAGCTAAGCCTCCACAACGGCAAGTTCGCCAAGAAAGCAGAGTTCGACAAGCCGGCCCTGCTTCAGGCGCACTTCCTCAACACGGCCTCGCAGCGCGGCCGCCAGAACATCTACATCGTCGAGGGGCTCGGCCCGGGCTTTGCGAGCGTTCTGGGGAATCATTTCTCGCTTCACCCGTCCTTCTTCGTGGAGCACGAGCGTGTTGTGGTGCACAACCTGAACTGGATGGGCGAGAGCGATGGTGTACAGTTGCCGTCTGTCATACAGAGTCGGGGACACCTGGAGATGAAGTACTATGAGGTTGTGACCTTTGACAGGAAACCGACGAGCTTCCGATGGGTTTGCGCGGCTACAGGAAGACATATTGGCGTTTCCAGAGATTTCAGATGGGATAACTCCCCTGATGAGATTGACAACTACTTAGACGTGGGTGTTGTGCGGAGGAAGTGCGGCGTTTGGTCTTGGAGGACCGAAGGCGGCGGCTGGGACTGTAAGTCTGCAAACCATCATGCTCATACACCCTCGCTAACACACACAAGGCCTCGTCCTCTGCGACCCGCCCGTCAAAAGCGTCAGGACAGGCGACCAGTACAGCGTCGAGCACGACGTCAAGACCTGGCCCTACCAAGGCGGTTACCTAGACTTCGTCCCGGAAGAAGAGCAGATCCGCGTTGCCCGGGAGGGCTTTTACCGCGGCCCGCCGCGCGTCTCCATGCTCGAGGACCTCTCCTTCTACCTCGAGACGCACTCGCGCCTAGTCGACATTGCAGAGCCCGAGTCCGTCGCCGTCTTCGTCAAGAAGATCGTCGCCTCCCACTTCCTCAAGCAGACGGAGCACCTGCGCGCCACGCTCTCCGCCGTCCAGCGCGGACTCACCCGCAAGCAGGACCTCGCACGCATGCCCATGGAGAAGGTCGAGGCGCTGTGGAGCGACATGCAGGGCTGGGAGCGGCGTACGGGAGAGTACCTCGAGGACCTAGAGGGCATTATGCTGCAGCTCGGCATCCCGCTGTCGCACCCGGCGGGGGCTCCGGTCGTCCCAGTATCGCCGTCGCCGCCCCGCGGCGCTGTGTCGGCGGCGAGCATCGCGTGGCAGGACTGCACGGCCGACTTCCAGTTCCTGTACCTCCGGTTCCGGGAGCTGCGGCACCGCACGGAGACGCTGAACGCCGCGGTTACGGGGCTGGCGAGCATCACGGGCAACCGGCAGGCGTACAAGGAGCAGCAGCGCAGCATCAGCGAGGCGAAGCGGGTTAAGGCCATCACGCTGCTCGGGCTGGTGTTCATACCGCTGGCGTTCACAACCTCACTATTCGGGATGGAGTCACCGTACAAGCCGGGAGATCAGCTGTTTTGGGTGTACTTTGTGACATCTATTCCTTTGATTGTCGTAATCTTGCTGGCCTACTATGTCTTGGATCTCGGGTATAATGACGAGGGAAGAGCATGGTCGCTAGAAAACTTGGCTGTGAGGTTGCATAGATTGAGACGGCAGGAAAATAAGTTCATAGGAGGGTTCAAGGAAGGTAAAGCGTGAATGGGGAAATTAGAGAAAGCTACGTGCCCCTTTTTCACTTCAACTTGAAAGAGAACATTAAGTAGATGAAGCATTTGGCCAGCTTCATATCCAGATCGTACTTATTTATGCATACAGTCAGTCAGTCAGTCCTGTGCCATTCCTCAACTCACGGGTCTGAGCAATTGAAAGTGGAAAATAAGCGAGAGAAAAAAAGAAGGGAAAAAAAACAATGGGCGGCCACCGGAGATATGTAGAGCCACCTAAACTCGAACCCACAAGCTGTGCCGAAACCAGGCATTCAATCCACCACTAGGCTATCTTGCGACGGTGGTCGCACCCATTGTTGCGGAAACTGGAAGGTGAGTTGGATATGATGGAAGCGGTCCTCCAGCGGCAGGTGAGGTGAACCCTTCCATTGGGCATGTGTGGGTGAAGTGCAATCCCGTAGTTACTCAGGAGGTCGGTCGAGCTGAGCTTTTAGATATCTTCCTGTTTTCCCTTTCACCTCCACATAAAGTCAATTATCTCTCCTGAAGTTTTAATAACGAATGGCCAGAAAACTGCCGTTTCTGACAGCATTATAGAAATATTCTAAGCAAAAATTACTTCAATGTCCCTTCAGCTCCTGATCAATGCCGTGTGTGAGTGTCGTCATATGTGCTGGAGCTCGAGCACAGCCGATAAGAGCTCCAAAGTGGGTCTCCCACCACCACAGCGCTCCTTATCGGCGTGTTTAGTGGCGCCGCGCTCGCGATAAGCTCCCGTCCCGCAATCGACACCAACACGTCGCGCGTCCCACCGACGCGTCTAAGAGCTCTTCCGTCTTAATTGACGGCCTGCTCCACCACCCACCACACAACTCTACCACAACACTCGTCTTTGACTCGGATATCGGTACTTTTCCAAAGCACATTAGCCAACCTTTGCTTCATTCTTTTTACGTTTTGATACCCATAACCATACATTCTACCTTAATCACAATCCGCAATGGCTTCAGAACAGCCCGCTGCGCGCTCACCCAGCGCGAGTCCGGCCCCAGAGTCGCTTCAGGCGCGGATCGCCGCCCGTCTGGCCGCCATTGACGCCGACTCCGATGCCGACGAGCCCCAGACCACCAGCCGCAAGAGCAAGGCTTCCCAAAAGACCACACAGATGAACAGCGACTCAGAAGAAGAGGTCGTCAGACGACCGAGAGGTCGCCTCGCTGCCCAGATGGCCGGCGGTGAGAGATCAGACTCGGAAGAGCCCGAAAGCTTTCTCGACCGCATCCAGAAGCGGCTCCAAGCAGCGGACGAGGCAGAAGATGACAAGGAGGACGACACAGTCATGGGAGAGGCCGAAGACGAAGACGACACCCCGGTTGCCCCCCGCCGGCTGCAGAGAAAGTCGGAGAGAGAATCCACACCAAAGGCTCAAAGCCCAGCGCGTTCTCCTACACCGGGTCTCTTCGTGTCTCCCGAGAAACAAACACCAAGCAAGCCCGCAAACGACACAGCAGCCAACGACTCCGATTCCGACGCGTCGCTTCCTGCCCTGAAGAGCTCCAGGTTCCAAGCCCTCGTTGAGCGCAAGCGAGCTGAGAGACTGGCCCGCGAAGCCGAGGAGGAGAAGAAGAAGGCCGAGCGGATTGAACGCCAGAAGGCCATGAATGCCAACCTCTTTGACGACGAAGACAACGTCTCTGACATCACCGACGATGAAGGCGGCAGGACGCTGAGCCAGGCGGCACGGCCGGCGAGAAAGGCCGGCAAGAAGGCCATTGAGGAGATGAACCGTGAGACGCAACGCATGGCCCGTAACATGCAGCTCGCTCACGAGGCCAAGACACGGAAGAAGTTCACCAAGGCGGACTTTTTGGAACGATTCAACTTCAGAACCGCGGAAGCCAAGTCCGACCCCAAGACGACTAGCTCGAGCAGGCCGACAACGCCCGTCTCCGCGCACCAGACCGACGCTGAGATGAAGGACACGGAGACGCCGCCCAGTTCACCCCCTGTTGCCAAGGTGCCTTCGCCTACCAAGGAAGCTACTACGGTGGCCCAGCCTGTGGTCATCCCCGGCGACGAGGAGGAACTGCCTTTACTCGACAATGTGTTCGAATCCCCGAAGAAGCTCGACAAGGGCAAGAGCAAAGCTGTGGCTTCTCCAAGCCCCAAGAAGTCTGCAGTCAAGGGGGTTAAGCCCAAACGTCAGGTTCGCATCAAGCTTCCCTCTATTGCAGCGCATAATGCTGTGATTGACTTGGACGACGACCTTGAGATCACCGGCGTGAAGAAGGGCAAGCTCGACGCCGTATTCGACAGCATTCCGGAGAAGAAGTCTAGAGAAGCAAGCTCACTGCACGCTCTGCGTCGTCTCGCTCAAGTTGGCTCGCCCGAAAGAGCGAGGAAGAGTCGCGCCGAGAAGAAGGGCATCACCGCCGCCGAGATGCACTTCAACCTTCAGCTGCGCGCTCGCGAGCAAGCCAAGCTGGAGCGTGAGAGGCGCCTCCAGGAACTGAAGGCCAGAGGTATTACTGTGCAGACTGCAGAGGAGCGTGAGAAGGAGATGCAAGAAGTCGAGGACATTGTCTCCAGAGCCAGGAGGGAGGCTGAGGAGATCATGGCGCGAGAGAGAGAAGCAGCCAAGGAAGAGAAGAGGGAAAAGAGGAAGAAT